CATGATACACTATAAGCTAAAAATTATCTAAACTGTCTACTTTTTTTAAAATTCATCTGAGATGGTTCAATACAGTGAAAATCTCAGGAAATTTTTCAGCTACCTATAGCTTATTTATGAAATATTATATTATAAATAATAGAATGTTGCAGTTAGCATAGAATAATATTATACACCAACATTTTTCTCATGTCCAACAATGACACACAATAGTATATTATTAGCCAACTAGTAGCTTCATGATGAGAGACTTTCGCGATGAGTCGTTTTTGTAGTGAGTAGCTTTCGCAGTAACTGGTCATTTCATCGGAGTTGGGAATTAATGTTTTTTATGTCATTAACAACTGGTCTTAATCTGGGAATACCATTGTTAGGACTGTTAATTTGTGCAGTTGCTTTGGTAGGAGTTCCTAAATAAGACTCATGCTCTGATATTGCCCGCTAGTTTCTTACTTCGGCTTTGCATCACGAATTCTTATCATACTGCTTAGTGACATACAGCTCAAGGAATTATGTTGCAGGATAGTTAAATATTGTTGATTGAAAATAATAAACTGCAGAAACATTTTCCAATATAGATAAGAAATTATAGTTTGAAACATAACTTCTCAGCATTGAAATAAATAAATCTATATAAATAAATCTATCTAATGTGTTGCTACACAAATTAAAAATGAAAGAAATTGCAATATAGAATATTCCATCAGCGACAATGATAGGTGTATTTCAGGGTCAGTGTTATTCACAAAAATTTGTTCACGATTTTATAAACTGGCTTGGAAATTCCCATCACCAATTATACATAATGTCACAACATGTTGGAAAATTTGTAACAAATTCAAAATCACTCTTGATAATTTTGTTTACTTTGCATGTGTACTATGGTTGTATTTGAGGTTTTTACCATTTTAATGCTGTACATATTTTAATATTACATGTACATCCACAAAAATACCCATGAAATATTAATTAGAGAATTTATTATATACATTGTGTAAGGCCACACCGACTTAATGGTATGGATGACATCCGCGCACGCATCAGTTTTCACCTGTTCTCAATAATCTCTGACGGCAAGTTTCCACAGATTGGCTTTCTGTCTGGAACTTGCCGACTCATTGTCACAAAGCGCCAGCTTGTCGTAAAAGTCGTTTTCTGTTCGACTGCATGCCTAAAACTTTTAGGTTCATGCACTGCAAGCAAGAGTGCACATACCTAAAGCAACCGTCTCTCAGCAAATGATTTAGCCCAGGCGTTTTCCATGTCAAAATCGTGAAACTATCAGTTTTTATGCAATCTGGGAATTACTAAATAAAGTACCGATGCAAAGCTGATCGAAATATTCAAGAACTAATGCATACCAAAAATTATATTGCAATACTAAATATACGTGGTATATTTTAATAAAGTCCAACCAAACTGGAAGTGATAATTTGTTACTACATACTCTAAATATCTAAACATATTTTAGTATAAGGTAGTAATAAAATAAGACCACTGAATGTTGGATAATGTTGTGAACAGTAGTGCGAGACTACAGATCATTTACATTGAATGAATGAATGACAGACAGACAGACACAGACAGGGAGATGGTTACCTGGTAACACCTGATTGGATACAGGAAGTGTAAGAGTTTGTTCATGCTTAAATGCACACTATTAATATGTGTATTATTTTTCTATTAATTAGTCACCTAAAAAATAGAGCAATAATTTTAAAATATAGCTATTAATAATTCATGGCAACAATACCTTTTCTTCTAGCTCTATTTGAATTTCTGATGATGGATCGTGAATAATACCTTGTAGTTCGTAGGAAAATATCCTAGCTGGTGTACTATCATTTGTAGTTGTGTATTTTAACCATAGGATTTCAGGTGCAAATGTCTGGTTCATTTCTTCCTCAATGCTATATGCATACTTGTTAACTCGCCTTCCAGAATATTTAATGATAGCACCAACAATCATGCCTAATGTGAAAAGAAAAAAATATCAATAAAACAGTCTACATTGCAGTTTCCATGACAAGTGTATGCGATATTATTACATTACTGCCATTTTGTATTATTTCCATGGTGGCCAAGGAGGAATCGCATTTCCTTTCAAATTGATTGATCATTAATTGCCCCTGGTTACTTTACTGCTTTGAAAGCATAATAATGTTTCTTGGAGATCATTAAACATGTAGCATTTGGTTATTAGGTTTTTTTTTTTTTAAAGACATACAATGTATCTATTTGCCGCATTTTAGTAAAAGTCTCTGAAACACTATTTTGTGCATATTTCTATTTTTACCAGTCATTCTGTCGGCAGTTGGATAGTTTTGACACTTAAGACTGCGATAAGGCTTGTGTGTGGTATAAATTCACCATTTACTCAACACACAACAACTGGACAAAACCTTTGACAAAATTAACATACATGTACATTACAGGAGTTTCCTTGAGAGCTGGCCATATGACCTGCTACAAGCCCAAATTGGCCGTCTACTCTCTGCCCTCGATCGCCTACGCTGGTCTTGCTGTAGCACTTCGCACTGCTGAGAGCCCTTTTTATTTATTTTTGGTCAGTTGCTACAGGATGATGGCCTGCTATTAAATGCATTTGTGAAACCCCTGACATTATCAATGAATTACATTGTACATTTATTAGTTGTTGAAAGAACTCTTTGAGACAAACAGGATGGATCATATTCCTCCTACAATCTAAGTGAGAAAAGCTAACTGTCACTGCTGTGTTAGTTTCACATAATGATATGCACAGCTAACCACCAGTCATTCAGTTTTATGGACAGCCCCACCCTCCAAATACAATATTTATTTTTTAATTACTGATAATATTCCATTTCATTTCATTTGGTTATAATTGTTTGGAGGAAAGGGTAGTTACATTTTGTGGATAAGATTTCAAGCATGTATGAACCCCACTAGACATTACTACATGACAAGTATGAAATCAGATATTAACGAGAAACATATGAAAGTATAATCATCATGTATGTATGTCAGTCATTAAGCATACAGTCTGCATACCAAGGCGCAATAATATAAGGCCAAAATATGTAAAAAGAAAAACATTGCTGATTTTTCAAAAAAAGAAAAATTACAACAAATCGAACAGTTTGTTGTTCGTTGTATTTATTATTAATTTTTCATATTTGTTGTGTTTTGCCATGATGCATGAAACAAAATTTGAAATCAATTCTCAAATTTAAACAAAATTACAGGGATGACAGTAAGTATGAAGTTTTATATAGTAAGTAAAATTACCTGTTAGTCGACATATACATACATTTAGATGTTGTAGTAAACAACAGCTACATTATGAAGACAACAGATTTCTGGAACAATTAAGTCAGCCGTAATTAGTGTGCCCTGTTTATAACTGATTTTGTAGGGACCTGAAGTCAAAATATAATCCCAATACGTTAATCAGATTGTTGACTGCTGAAGATAGAGAGAGGGCTTATAAATAATTTGTATGTGGCTAATACTTCTGAACCCACAAACTAAAATGTCATGGCCCCAGATTTCGTTTGATTCCACACTTATTTTATTTATGAAATGTGATTTTCATTTTACCAAACTTTTTCAAGGTATGATTATCATTTGTCATTGGTTCATGCGGGAGTAAGCACAGCTAGTTGTGCATCACTGATCAGTGTGCATCAGTGATACATCAAATCAGCTTGGAGGACACACTGGTAATAATGGGTTGAACTACAGAAATAACCAATGAATTTTTCCAGTGTTCTTGCATATTCACAAAGCATGTGTTATTTACTAATTGATTTCTGTTTACGCAGTCAAATCATTCTACAATACCAGTGGTTAGAATAACAATCAATTGATATGTGCACACTGGAATCCCCATTGCATATAACCATACATAGACATCACAGTTGTATACCCTTATCTTAATAAAAATCTGACATTGACAAATTGTGGGAATCCCAGACACATCTGTATTGGTGAAACAAAGATACATATTGATTCATTAAGTGATTAGGTAGAACCAGCAGACCATTAAATGCTGTAACCATGGTGATTGATGATGAGTTGAATCACTTGCCATTATATCAAAATTTTCTATACCAGTACCCTACTTGCTCAATTAGAAGTGTATTTTTTATTTAATATTGAAATTTCAATCAGAATCACCGATTTGCTTTAATAGTGGCATATTTGAACTTTTTTTATGGCGTGTCCATGTAACTTCCTTGCTCATTACTTGTTTTACTTGCCTTACAGTATACAATGTACTAATATTTTTGTGCCTGGTGATAGGTCTGTGTATTACTATTTATGTTTAATCAAAGTTTGCGAAACTGTACAACGTACATTACATGAACATTTCTGAACATGGTTTTAATTCCGGTGTCCGACATGAAATAAATTATTTGATTCATTAAAAGGAAATCACCAACCAAGTAAGCCCAGGTTTAATATGGAGAATCTGCACTTTTTTTTTTTTTTTTTTTTTTTATTTAAATATTTGTTGTGCCAGGCGACAGTTCCGGACATTCAGTGTCACTGTCTCTCCTGACTTTTTTTTGTATGTGCAAATTGCAAGTGCTAGTGACGACACCTAGTGCATTTTGCCACAGAAGTCATATTCTACAGGACAGGGCTGTGTGGCCATCTCTCTGTCAAATGGCAATTTGTAATGCGCTATCCTGGCGTCAACCAGGCCCTGTCGAACACAAGTACCTGCGGACCTTAACCAAGGTTCCCCCAAATTCGCATTCGTTAGTGAATGAAATTCAGCCAGTGGAATTGGCCTTCCCATTGAGTCTATGGTACACTCACCCAGGGGTCGACTCTTTGATGTTCAGCCTAAGGTAGGATTTGAACTTGGGTCTACCGATCATGAGTCTGATGCGACAACCACTATGCTACCAGTGACCGGTAGAGCCACAATTTTTACGTAATCATTTTGAAGGAGTGAGAAATGCAGAATTATCAGAAAATCACAAAACGAGTTCGTCAATGAACTGCTTAGTATTCACCTTAACCATCTTTGTCTGTACACAGTCCCTCTATCAGAGGTACAATAGAGAGACTGTGGCCTGTATAAGCCTGGGAATTACATTCACTATGCGGTTTTGAATACAGTGATGATCTCGCTCTGTTCTGTTTATGCAATTAAACCTTTCAAAGCATGTGGACCAAATAGTACGGTAAAATGCTTTGCCAAACCATGTCAAAAATTGGGTCACTATTAATTAATTTATTTTAAAACTTATTTGTTCGTTCTTCCTTTACTTGTTCTTTGTTACAATTATAATTTTAATATATCATGCATGCTTGATCAGTTTTTAATGTAAATTGTAAAAAAAAAAAAATTAATTATTAACTTGGAGATTGTTGGATCAGATCTTCATCACATATTACTGTAAACAATTAAAATATACCTTATAAATCTTTAGGAACCTGTCAACTACTCTTGATAACTGTATGCAGAGACACTAATAATATAATTTGTTGAGATTTACAACGTTATGTGAATTTCCATGTTCACAATACTCACACTATGTTGAGGCATGACAAAATGATCTGTTTTTAACACATATACAACTGACTCAACAGTCTAAACATATAGAAAGCGAGCACCAGATTACACTCCACTATTGACATATAGGTTAAGTGAAAGTCATTCACTTATACATATTTTCATCAGACTTTTTTATTCATTCTATCCAAAGCAACGCAACAATGAATAAGGGTGTTTTTACCCTTATTAATTAACACAGGGTACTACACAAATGCGATTTCTATATATTAGTAAATCAAGTTGAAAATGGGGGTTGAGATTTTCCCCCATTTTAATGTACTGGGTTTTACATGTATGTACATGATTAAAACTGGTTAGATAAGATAAGATAAGATAACTTTATAGACATTATTCTGGTCAAGTAAAATAGAAAAGGATAATAAAATTTAAAATAGAAAAGTAGGCAAAAAAAAAATTAAAATAACAAAAATTAGTTGAAGAGCAATTAACATACTAGTACTAAATTACTGAATAGTACAGAATCAGGTGATTTTACCAGATGAATATCATCTATATAGATTGTGCCATTTAGTTAAATTCATGCAGTACATACAATAGAACAATTATTTGAAAAAGTTTTCCATTTGTCATACTTTGTCATACGACTGGGTGATATAAATTGAAAGAGAATAGCATCTTTTGTTGATATTCAGTGTGTACCCGAGTATTAGATTGACATCTCCCTGTTGATCCAACTTGTTCAAATCACGCAATATTTCAGTATTCGAAACAATATGGCGATGACAGTAATGTGATCTCAAAATTATAAAATCCACTTTTATTACTAAGTAGTATGCTAGCAGTCGATATATAATATATACCTATATGTTATACATGTACTGACTGCAAATATAATAGAACATCTAATACTCAGAAATGCAAGACTTCATATTAAATAATTAATATTCACATCAGTACAAGGTGACTGAGGCGGAAGAGTTGATGACAATTTGGATGTTGTAATTTACTAATTCATTGTCATAAATCATATGATAATGCCACCATGAATTGAAATGTTATTGTTTTATACATTTTAAGAAATTGCTTATTAATTTTTTTATTATTCTCAAAAACACAAATATTAAAACAGTCTAGATGGTTTTAGATCAGAAACGCATAATCAAGTTCTGCACTACTGAGTGTGTTACTGCACATATATGCAAAGCATTATGGGAGAAAATAGAGAAATCAATAACATACAACTTTTTTAAAAATGTCACCAAGCAAAATTTTAAAATGTGAAGAAATATTGTGAACTGCTTAAATATTACAAGAGGTAAAATTTCATGAATTTTGCATGACAATTTGTTGTGGTTCTATGAGACAATTCTTAGTGATAATTACCGCTACTTTCACAAAAAATTCGCCTTCACGAATGCCATCAAATTCTGAATTCTAGCCGTGATAAGTATCTCACCATAGAAACCAATGCAAAATTTGATCATTTTCCATGATATTTTGGAATCTTGTATCTTGTAAAAAAATGGCCATATATTTTTCAATTTCAATATCAAGACAGCATGAACCCACAATATTAAAAATTGGACGAACACTGACATATAATCTTCAATTCGTCTTGAACCTCATGCATACATATGGCTGACACAAATCACATGTAGTAAATAATGGGTGAGAAATATAATGCCCCAATAAAGTTTATCTACTGCATCAAACTGAAATTCTTTTTTTTAATAAGATAAGAGTTCCAAACAAATACGAAAATGTATGTCAAGTATATGGATGACATTTTCAAAATATATTGAGAAATACAAATACAACAAGTTTGTTAATATGCATACATGTATATGGTCGTACAAAAGATTGTGACTGGAATATAAATAGTAAAATATATGATAATGCTACGATGGCTGTGGATCGATTAACGTTTCCTGAATTGACCATCTGACTATCATAAAAATTGATTTTCTGAACAATTATTATGTGTAGTATTCCAATGTTCAACGTATGAATCCAAAAATTATTGACTCTAAGAACAGCATGGTATAAAAGGTAATGACTGTAATAACAACAAAAACATACTGTGAGTCATCAGCTGGGCTTAAAAGACCGACCATTGAACTTATTTAATACTAGTAAAAATTACTTATATTTATCAATTTTAAACCAACCAAATTTAGAAAAGAAGCCGTTTTTCTACTGTTTTATTATTGTTCTGTTATGTGGTTGGTCTTTCAGGCAGACATCTGGTGGAAAGTAATAAACATAGCCAAGGTTTTACACTAGTACTGCTGAATATTGGACATGCTATTAGATTTCTAGAGTTCTTACCATTTTTGATATGATCTGGGGAAATTCTTATCATTTGTTTTGTACTTTCTGTTGAATCTGACTACCACAATGGAATAAATTGATGCATGCCTGACATTACTCCTGTAGTTCACAATCTATGTTATTTTTACAAAAAGTCCTCAACTAATGATAAGAAATACTTTGGTTTTGTCCAATTAAAATTTGCTTAGGCTTTTAATATGCACTCTAACACCATCTCAAATAATATTGGTTGCTATGTAAACATTCCTCTAGTGTAGGACTCGCTCATGCACAATAGGGCAGCGTTGGCAATATTATCCCACTCGCCAAGGACTGAGTAACTTGGGTGTATGAAGCCCAGGACTTTGGTAACTTGGGTCATGGAGGTAAAAAGAGAAGGAGTCACAGCCAAGCTTAGATCAAAGGTACCAGGATGGTCGCCGCTGTTTGTACATAGATCAGGGAGTTTATTTGCCGAACAGACCAAGGAGGACAGTTTCGGCTTAGCGCAGTGAGGATTACGATGCATTAGCATACTACCGACGCCTTCGACAGCATTCGGTGATTTTCGTGACAATTCTAGTCAAATTCTTATAAACAAATATGGCGACGATCGATAACGCACACGAGTTTGACTACGATGCTGAAACTGCTATATGTTTCAATTCAGAAGACGTAAACGAAATCGAAGAGCATATTACAGACGAAGAATTGTTTTGCATATGCTGTAAACAAAAAGATTGCTCGAAAACAAAAAATGCAGCGAATTTTTACCTCCATGCACTGCCATAGGAAGTAGGACATACACGGGATACAAACTTCAAAAAGTGTCATTTCGAACCTCAAAATTCAGTCACTGGTACAACGCGGTGCGGTCCATGTCATGCACCATTGTAAAGATCATTAAACAAGCTTTATTTTGGACTAAAAAACAGTCCTAGCAAGGTTTCGAAACATTACCATATTGCCGATTCAATAATACAACAGAAAATTTTCTGAAAAACGAAAAATTACATAAACTTAACAAGAAATTCTGTAATTTTCAAAATTCCAACGTTCCCGTTCTCACAAACACGATTCCTCTACGTAAAAAATATCTGCGCATGCTTTATGTCCTTTAAGATTTACTGTGACACCATAAAACAAGACCTTGGAGTGTGTACTGTACGCAGCAATGCTCGAGGGTAAATGACGCGTTGGCGACGATCCTGGGGTGAAAGGACGATAAGACAAAGGGAATTATAGAATTAAACTTGTCTAACACAAAAGAAGTTTAGAAGGATTATATTGGCTGTGACTCCTCTTTTTCACCTCCATGCTTGGGTGTATGAAGCCTAGAACCTGGGTGCATGAAGCCAAGAAGCGGACAACTTGAGATGATGACAACTTGCGGTTAACTTTATTAGTAACCCACCCTCGACTTTCTAATGGTTTAAAACCGCGATAGTGTATAATATAACGGTTAGGGTATGGGGGCGTGTGTCTTTCGTACATTATGTAAAATGATGTAATATCAAGTGAATTAATTGCATTGTAACTTACCGCACTAACTTGGTGCATACTCTTATATCGGAGCATAATTATGAATAAAAAGTCAGTAAAATTACCCACATCCCAGCGCAAACGCACTACCAGTGTGTTGGTGAGAAAAGAAAAAGTGAATAGCTTACCATATATCATAGCAAGACCTGTCTCGTGTAGAAAACGGAACCGACGATGTTTGAACAGCCACACTGTCAAGACGGTACAAACCAGTAAGAAAATAAATATCAATAAGTTTATGCTGTCAAGTCGGTGTTTTTGCAGTGCTTCTCGTTCTAGTTCTGCTTCCGGGTCTTTCACAGCGAGTTTTCTCGCCCATCCCATCGGAGCGATTACGAGCCACAACACGGCCAAAATGATGGTGTGCGACGCCATGTTGAAAACGTCCTCCAATGCGGCCTCTAATTAAACACCCTAAGTCCTTGAGAATTCATAATACAGATATTATCAACGCCGTATTCCTATAATTTTTCTAAAACATATTGAAATAATACATCCAATAGTAGTAAAACTAATTAATATATAGAAACACATGCTGAAATTATACGTTTTATTTATGCAATCGTGGCGTGGTTGACGCAAACGGTGAATATGTTTACAGTTGTTTTTACATTGACTGCATTTCTAGTAAGTTACGTGGTTTCTCTATACAGTCATTGGGAGTAAGTTAGGACCGATGACGCTGGGAAGGTTAGTAGTTTTTAATCAATGATTTTCACCCTGAATACGCAAGAAAGTTCACTTAACTCAGCCCGGTTCGCCTTGTAGTGGAAATTGTGGTGCAAACACTGGGCAATAACTTCTACAATTGAACGAAATCCGTGTGAATTCTTGTGTGGCTTACCGCCCAACTTTTGAAGGATTGTGTTTCATCTGTCAACTTCCAACCCCACAGCGTGAACTCGCCGAAACATAAGCGACTATTACTATGAATCCACCGTATTATATTGATCGATAAATAACAGCTCATTAGTGTAGTGATATTCAATATATTGTAGTAAGTGTTACGGCATGATTATACTTTAAATAAATCACTGTCTTCTTCTTCTTTTTCTCGATTTATAAGTGATGATTCATCGAAAGGAATTACTAATTACCGAAGTAAATCGCTTCCAAATAAGGGGGTGTATCATTGTCACTGGACGGATTTCGAATATTACGCGCACCACGAAGGTGGTTTAAAAATCTAAGGTCATTGCGTATCACGAACTGGGATATGAACGTTTTTCACACATCAGCCAGACTGTGTGCAGTTCACAAGAAACTGAGTTTATGTATGTCTGGAATGTGGTACTGGTAGTAAAACTCTTTGTGATCAAGTACTCAAAGTCAGTCATGAAACGAACATGGGCGATTGTATACATTAGATACATTACATTTCCTGTGGGTTTTGGAAACATTGTAAAGTTACTGTGAAAACTTTTATTATTGATGTTAGAATTTGACTAAAACAAATGTTATTTTGAAAAGATGACCAGCGTTTTTAGTGCACTTTATTGACCGCTTAGCAATATGGTTTTTCATGTGTATTGATTCAAATTTTAACAAAGAATACACTTTCAATTCTTGAGTGAAAGTCACCAAAGCTGAGTAATGTTTTTCGTTTTTCAAGGTCGTAAAATATTCATATATTTGAAACAGTCCAACTGCCAATACTTCTCTATGCATCTGAAATTTGGGGAATAACAATTAAACCAGACAAGTGGGACAAAACTGAAACTGAAAAATACCACATAAAATACTGTAGACACATTCTAAATGTTAACAATAGAACAAGCACAATTGGTTGTAGACTTGAACTCGGGAGATTACCATTAATCTCAAAAATACAGCTACAATCTGTTGAATATTACCAAAGTATTAGGAACAATGGTCCTATCAGTTACACATACCATGCAGTTAGGGAACTTGAACAACATTGTTATAAAGACTCATGGATTGAAGGCATACACAACATTGTTATAAAGACTCATGGAGTGGAGTCATACACAAAATTGGGGACATTTACAATATAAACCCTATTACCATATCAAAAAAGTCATTTTTTGAGAAAACTAAGAACCACTACACAGATTCATGGATTAGTGATATTAATAGAACAGATTCTAAGCTTAGAACATACAGCCTCCTTAAAAATGATATCAGTACGACACCCTATCTGCATTTATTACATAATAGAGAAGACATCAAAGTAATGTCACACTTGAGATTGAGCTGCCATAAACTTCAAATTGAAGTTGGCAGACATAAAAGGCCAAATATACCAGCAGAAAAAAGAATCTGTAAAAAATTCACTTCATCAGAAATTGAAGATGAAATACATTTTGTAACAAGGTGTGATTTTTATAATACTGAAAGAGAAATACTTTATACAGAATTCACAAATGTACTCCCCACTTTTCAATCAGAAAACAATATAGACAAATTCAAAACTATTATTAATACAAAAGAACATAAATTAATCAAGCATGTGACAAAATACTTAAAACTTTGTTTCAAGAAACATGACACATAGACATGTACTTATCATACGTAACTGTATATCACCACACTATCTCAGGCTAATTAGCCATTTATCTTAATTTTCTTTAACTTTTAAATTTATTACATAACAGCCTGAAATGATTTGTTAACTTTCATTATGGTGTAATAAATGAAATTATTATTATTATACTCATTCCCTTTAAAGGGTGTTGGTTGTCATATAGCATATGTTTGAATTCTGTGTACATGTATACATTGCTATGGGTCCTATATTGAACAGGACGCGATGCGACTACCACCGCCCTTTAGTTATTTTACTCTTAATATTTGTTGTATTTTCCTGGGGTTTAAGAGTAAGTTTCACATTTCCTCTTATTTCATATGAAGTCTTGCTTATATTCTAAATTCTGAAATTGTAAAAATGTGTGATGATTTTTTTTTTATATAAAATAATTAGATGTTTTTCTCCAAATTTTTGTAAATGACAATTGAACCTGACTTTATAAATCCCGAAGATCAGTGTGACCTTTGACCAATCACGATAATTTTTCAAAAGCTGTAGTGATGTTAGTACCCGTACTATTCAGTATGTATTTTTGCAGTAATTGAACCTATAACATTTCTAATACATTGGATGGATCTACTGTAACCATTCACTTAAATATTCTGTAAAAATCATGAAATTTTGTTTAATTGAAAATTTCTCCGTGGGTGGTAGTGTCTTATTAGTGTTGGTAACTTTTGTGCAATTTTGTCTTCATGAATGCTGTAACATTCTCAAATAGTAAAAATTCTCAGCAGCACAAAGTAAACAGTTTACACTTAAACTGGTCATGACTGAGTGAGAGGACAGTGAATCTTTGCTAATGCCTCCTGGGTGTTATCAAAGGTACCATATAATCAATAATAACCTGACTAGCAATTGTGTTATAAATCGTTCAGGACAAAAAGATCTTTGAGAGTACTTAATTAGTCCACTGATCTATAACCTCTTTATTGGGCATTTGAATCTAATGCATTTGTTCATCTTGACTGTATTCATCATGAATTTTATGTTGCAGTGAGGATACAGAGCCCGGGAAGATGTCTGTGCCACATGCCGTGTGTTCACGGTGTAATGAAGGCTTCATAGTTGAAGAGAAGATGATAAATTGTAACGGTGAATTGTGGCATGAAAGATGTTTTGTGTAAGAATATTAATATTCTATTTTTTTTTTTGTTCAACTTTCTTCTATATGCTGTGCTTTTCATGAGTCTGCACTGTTCTGAATGCTTCATTTCTAACATTTTTGAAGGCTTTCACAACTGACCATTTGCTGAAGTGTCGGAAATGCGCTTATAAACAGATAACCATGCTTGTTTATTTACCATCACCGTTACATAACAGGGAGCTGCAATACTGTATTCACTTCTCTGCCATCGAATTTGACGTTGAATGTCACTGTTGTTTCTCTCGACTTTTTTTTTTTATGTGCAAAAGTGAACCATCTATAAAAGTATAAAATTCAAATTGTATATTCATTTACCAGGCTTTGAGTTGTGTCGCTGAAAATGAAAGCTAGAGACTATGATGATGATTTTACAGTATTACTCGTATGTACACACATAAGTACAATCAAAGAATGATTGTAATGCAGTATAATGAATGAAACCACAGTGGCCTCAATTTTCCCATGACACTTTTGACTGTACATCATGGGTGGCGTGAAATGCATCTCCTGTCATAATTTCATTTTTCCTATTTCTTGATTCCTGTAGTTGTGCTCAGTGTTTTCGTCCTTTTCCTGATGGCATGTTTTTTGAGGTGAGTTTTAATACAGATAAGAATCAGGCAAAAATGACATCAAGATTTTGCACAATTGATTCATTTAAATGACTAAACTGAATTAAAAGTAGAAAATAATGTGATCTCATACTGATTTTGAAATTGCTTTTTTTTTTAATATTCAAATGATTGAAGCTTTTCAAATAATTTTTGACCAAGTACCAAGAATCTGATTGTAATAATACTTCATGTGTTATTATTCATAAATGCTTACTTAGTTTGAAAAATTATTTTAATACAAATAAGTAATTACTCTCGAAAATGTTGAAAAATTGTCTAATTTTCTGCATGAATACTCATAAAATGACCTGGGGTAGAAGATTATCAAATAGATTCCATTATTTCCAACGGTAGTTGTTGTAGATTGGCCTTCCATTATTTCTTAGTAACCTAAAAATGGAATAGCTGTTAATGAGATAAGAATTTCAGTGCACTAGATAAATCTACTCAGTCAACGTAGGTGGAAGTCACTCTACCTTGACTTTCACAGTTCAAAATTACAAGGCCAACATGGTTAATGAAGTGTAATGCTTGAACAACACATTTACTGGATTCACATGCTAAAAATATGCAACACAATATTTCGTGATCAGTGGGTTGACGGTGCCTGTCTGTCTGTCTGACCTCCTAACTTCTCTGAAAATTGTTATTTTCATAAATATTTAAATCAGTTAGTTGTATCATGCTTCTCTAGCTTAAGATTACTTCTATACAAGTATAAGATTTTCTACCAGTCTTCTCTCATTGATGTCAAAATTAAACTGATGAATAAATAAATACTGTAATTGCTCTATTAGGGGTGCATTTCTACTACAAGTGCGCATAGGCCAGAAAATCAATTGATTTCATAAGTGATCTTTTAGTCTGACTTATTTTGGCCATAGACTCACTTCTCTCATTTAGATAAATGTACATGTGCTACTAAGCAAATACGTTATATATGAAAATGTGAATATTTTAGTGGACGAATAACAGATGATTGACTTGCATTTTTTTTTTTCACCACGATGTGATTTTAAAAATAATTTGAAACAGTAAAATCAGTGAATCAAGATATATTCACCTCAGTGCAATCCAGACCACCTTAACCCTTTCATAGATATTTGACAGTTTTTTCTGTAATTCTTCATATTCATTTTGAACCAAAAATACAAATATGTTTTATGAATTTTGAACCTTGAACCCATTTTGTGGGAACAAGCATATTTTGTTGAAGGTTATAAAAGCTGACAATGTCAAAAGGAATAATCTTTTATTATACATCTCTGTGCTTGTGTGATATGAAGATATGAAATCAAATATCTCTACATCCTGTATCTACTAATTGTGTGGTGAAACCTAAGCTAGTCTTTTTCCTTCTGTTTGTAGTTTGAAGGCCGGAAATACTGTGAGCATGACTTCCATGTATTGTTTGCACCATGCTGCGGAAGATGCGGTAAGTGTATTGAATTGTTAAAATTATTTAATTGTATTTCTTTCTCATGTAAGATTGCTAGAAATTGAATTTCCGGGTACTATTGTTAAAAGAATTTATTGTTTATATTGCAGTACACTGTAAATGCATTAATTTCGCTGATAAGTAAATCCACTAAATTATATCTATATGAATGTAAAAAAAATAAAATTTATAAATTTAAAACCAAGTGAATTTGATTAAAAAATGTGAAATTAAATGCTGATATTTATTTATTATTTTTTTGTTGACATTTCAGGCGAGTTTGTGATTGGTCGTGTAATTCGTGCTATGAATATGAGTTGGCATCCCGATTGTTTCATGTGTCAGCTGTGTGGAACTATTCTTTCTGATACTGGATTTGTTAAGAGCAGAAATAGGTCAGTAAAATGTATCAGCCAAATAACAGTGTGGTGTAATCCTTGGGTTGTCTGCCCAGAACTACTTCTTTTGTAATAAACTACAGATTCTGTGGGAAGATGTACAAATCCAATCAATGTATTGACTGATTTGCTTCATAATGTTTAAATTGGATATACAAAGTTTGCCTGCCTGTAAAAAAGAGGGCTTCTTTTTATTAGTCGTTAGTGAATGTTCAATTTTAAGAGAATTTTACAAGATTGGAAAATAATTTACAAATTTTTTCTCTTGACTGGCACATTCAAATTTTTTTTTTTTTAGTTAGTCCTAACAATCTGTTGCAGCCTGTGAAAATGTTCTGAATAATATTTTCTTGTTAATTTCCAATAAATGATGTCTATTACTGTGGCTAAAGTGATATACATTTTTTACAAGTGACCATTTTGATAAATAATCTAGCAAAATTACAATGATAAAAACTACATTAGCAGTTGCGGAATCTATTGTATACCATTTAATAGACCAGTAATAGAAGTAGTGATGTGAGCAGGTGCAAAATATACAGTATAGAGAAAGGATAATCCAAAGTTAATTGAATTTAAAAAACTCAATACGTAGTATGACATAAGTAAGTTTTGAGTCTGAGAGTGTATTATGCGTTATAATTGTAT